AATAGTGTATGTATGCATCAGTAGTTACTGATATGAGTAAACTTTTAGCAAACTGAGTGCATAAATAAAAACAAATGTATTCATTGAAATGAAAAAAAAATATATATATATTTGCGTGACGTCACCATGTAGTTTCGCTTTGTCATTAGGGGTATATTTTATGGCTATCTCTCAAGCAATAATAATGAAAGATAAGTGCACTAAAATCCTTCAAATTTGTATACATTTTGTACAACGTGAAAACATATTGATTATATCATATGGAAATTATATATGGAAATTAAAATCCGTTACAAGAGTTGCTTACAATTGATTTTTAGTGTATTGTTAAGAAAAAGTCATAAATGGTATACGTGGGGAAATGTAAATGTTTACCTCAACTGTTTTATCTGTTATTGTTCAGTGTTGGAAAATCAAATATAACACAAGCAAAGCACTCTGCCTCTGCCTGTCTCTTTCCCTCCCCATGTATCGATTAAGTAACGATAAATCACTCTGTGCAGTAGAAAAGAGCCTCATCGATACATAAATTAATGTTAATTTCCACCGTTACGTAAACATACATTTTCGGTTTATTTTGGTTCATTTTCCATTTTGTTTCAATTCTTTGTGTTTTTTCTTTTTGTGTGTGTAAATGTGTTTTATTAGCCTACCCCTTTACGCCGTCAAAAGATAAAAAAAAAACTTGCCACAACAACAGCATAAGCATTTCGACTAGATAAATTCCAACATTTATATATATATATTTTTGCAACTTGGCGCTGAAATCAAATAATCGCAAACAATCGATCGCAAACTGGTTCAATAAATACCATTAAACGGGAAAGAAACACACATAATATAAGCCATATACTCACATATAGCATTTGAACTCATTATTAGAGAGTATAATATTGATGATCGTTTTTTGGTTTCACCATTATGTTTTTGTGTTGAATTTCCAATTCGAATTTATGATTTCCGAATCGATTGCAATGGTTAAAGAGCAAGATTTTTAAGGCTAGTCGGTTGTATTGGTATAGATATAGAAAATAAGTTACAATCAATAATGAATTTGAAAAATACAGCAAAATATCACCTAAATGAGAGAATGATACCATTGCAATCACTAGTCATGAAAGAAGTCTCTTAATCAATCGTTGACCACCAATACTTCCTAGACTAGTTTGTAAGTTCATTGTGAGACCTCCTTGATTCCTGAACCTTCGAATCCTTTTACTACCAACGCTCGATTCTCGTTGTGGGAGCAGAACTGAGAGATGAGCCCATTCAGATCGGTGGTTCGCCAATTATCTACTTCGGCGATCCTCATGTGAAAGTGGGCCAACCGTTTTCGATCATCTGCGTATTCCCGATCACCGAGCGAATCGACTGGCTTAAGGACGGCGAGTCGATAAAGCGCCACAATTTGCGGCACTTCAGGGACGAACATTACTACTACTTGGAGGAGAAACCTATTGCAGGTGAGTATCCGCGTTTGGCCACCTGATCCTGATCCTGAACTCACCTGGCTCTGTGTAATCTGGCTAAAAGGTGACGAGCACAAGATGGAGGCCATCCTTAGCGTGCAGCAAGCCCTCAAGGTGCACGAGGGAAGCTATAAGTGCAACTAAGTTTACGCGATGGTTAAAGGCATCGGCGGCGGAGAGGTCAAATGACTCGGCGGCGGCGGCGTAGTAGTCAGAAAGAACCGGCGGCGGCGGCGCGCAAATAAGGCAAAAAGGCCATTTTAATAGTTATTTTTTTTTTTAGTTTTATAAAGAACAATGACACTGAAGGCCGCGCTGAAGCTGCGCCGATGCCGCACCAGCGGCGCGCCGCGCCCCGTTATTTTCATAATTTGGCGGCGGCGCGTCAAATAAGGCAAAAATGGCGGCGGCGGCGGCGTGGCGCGGCGGCGTATATGTCTAAGTGCAACCACCGGCACGACAACGCATTCATGCTGCACGTACGCGATTCCAGCAGCGAGCCCACCGAGTCCGGCTATCAGACGATTGACGAGCTCACGCCCGACTCGGCGGAGGAACGGTTTAAGCTCAGTTTCCCCCACAAGCACAAGTCACACTTTGGTTACGGGAATGCCACCACCTCGTCCAGTGCTATGCCGTGGCATCCCTCGGCGGGCGGCGGCAGCAGCGGGGGAAATAGCGTCGGCGGCATGATGATCCACCGTGTTGACACACCGCCAGACATTCCACCGCCGCGCTTCAGTATGTACAACGAAGGGCACACTGTGGCGCCGCCGGAGCGACCCACCATACTGTACAATCAGTCGTACAATCCCACTGCCACCGCTACAGCCACAGCCAGCGCCACTGCCACTGCCACGGAAGCCGGCCTGCTCCTGACCACGGCGCATCACCACGCCCACCACCAGCAGCAGCTGCAGCAGCAAGCGCAGCACACGCTGAACGCCTTTCAACTGCAACCGCCGCCGCGGCCAATTACGAACGCGAATCTCGGCCAAAACGAGAGGTATCAGACCCATGCACCGCACTATGTGCCACCATTAATGGGCGGCGGTGGGGGCGTCACAACTGCCCGAGGAGGTGAACGTGGAGAGCAGCAGACCACGACTTCAGCAGCAACCAGCACAATCTCAATGATGATGGCTGGAGGTGGTCACGCACATGGACATGGACATGGACATGGACATGGAGCTGTAGGAGGTGCTCATATGGGAGGTGGTGCTGCTGCTGGCGGAAGTGGCCACACGATGATGGGTGGTCAAGGGCATCTGCAGCATCAGACGCTCTTGCCTGACAAGAAGGGTGAGCCACATACACACACACACACCAAACACACCCACGAAACACTCGCTCACACACACACATACACAATACTAACCAAAGTTCAACTCGTAACTTGCCCACTTTGTTGTTGTTCGTTTTTGGCTTTATCTCGCTCGTGCCTCTCGAAATCGCCATTGTAAATCTTTATCGTACAAAAATAAATGCAGCCTTGCTCCCATTTTTAATTCGTTCGATTGCTGTTATCGATAGTTTTGTCAATATTTGCCTTGATTAGTCAAGAAATGAGTTTTAGCAATCCAAAAGCATGTCAAAATAATTTTTTAATCAAATAAAATGGGTTTTTTTTGGATTTATCGATCATTTTTGTTCTTAGGGTTCTTTCAAATTCCCACGCTATAATAATACTAATCTGTTTTTATTTTTCTAGTATGTATAATTAAATGTTCTGTCTATGCAATACTTAAACAGAATGCTTTTCATTAAAAACTTATTCTTATTAAAAAAAAAACACTTTGAAAAAAGGCAAATTAAAATTTAAATTGAAGCGATTTAAAATTGCCAAAAGTTTGATAACTGCATCGTAAGAATTGAAAACGGGAACATGTCGGAAAGTCATGGCTACAATTGCAATTGTTTGTGTCACTCCACCCCAATCGCTGTTTCCATCGGACCGCATTGACATCAGCTCACTTTTCCCCCGCCTCACGCTCGCTCTCCTCCTCATCAGCCCCCCTCCTGCTTGCAGCCCCCATCCTGCCATTGCATTAACCTCGCTAGTCTAATTTTGGTGTTGTAGGTTTTTAAATTAAAAGCTAATCGTTCGCTCTCTCTCTGTCTCTCGCTCTCTCAGTCTCTGTCTGACTTTGACAGCTAGCTGTTGGCTCTCTCTACGACATACTGACACACCCACACATTCATATATGGTCACACCTTTAAGTTAAGCTTGAGTTGTTTGCTTGAACTTTTTCATCATTGCCGCTTCTTCTTCTTCTTCTTGTTCTTTGTCTTTTGTTCGATTACCTTTTCTTGATTTCATTTGTTGTCCTATCTGTGTCTTTGTTTTCGTTTGCATTTGCCTTGCGTTGCGTTGCCTTTTCTTTTTGGCTTTGTTTCGTTGCTTTCTTTCGTTGTTTACTCTGATTGTTGAACACACAGCTGGCAGGTGCACAGCGCGGCGTCAATTTCGATTTCGATTCAATTCCCATTTGATTGGCAGCCAGTTTTGCGATGACGCATAAGTTTACAATTGGCAGCTTTTGGCTTACGAGGTGATTATCAGCAGGTCGGTCGGTCGGTCGGTCTGTGCCAGATAAGGCGAAAAAACACGCCACGTGATGAGTCGCTGATTCTCGCCCTGTCTTACTGCCATCTTTCTCTTGCTCTTTCTCTTTTTACTCTATATATCTCTCTATATATTCCCTTGCTTTTCTGCTTGCGCTTCGTGCATATCGATTAATTCGATATCTGGTATATCGCAGTGTGTAGCTTTACGCGTGTATATCGATAAATATGAATCTACAAATTTTTGCTCTATTTTACATTGCAGCTAACTTTACCAATACATTTTACCGATTTATTAACTAAACTAACTAACTAGCCATAAACTATATATACATACCAAAAAAACGATAATAAATAATCAAATACCGTAATCTCATTTCGTACGCAGCGTAAAATGAAGTTTATTTGATTTCAGTCCAAGTTTTAAAATAGTACAAAAATGTGTTTTATACGAGACCCCAACAGAGGATGAATATAATAAAATTCGGTGATTGACCAAATTGTATGCTCTTTTGTTTTATTTATACGTATTATTTAGTTTTAGTTTTAGTTTAGTTTTACCTAATATTATATGTATACCTTCTTTTGCTCTACCTATGATTTGGTATTAGTGATTTGTGTGTTGCTAAATCATCATACTATCCTAAGCAATTTAGTCCAGTACTCAAAACCAAATCTCAAGCTCTCATCTCTCAGCAAAAAAAAAAAAAAAAAAAACCCCTCAGAAATCTCTCGAAAATGCTCCACCAACAAACTTCCCATACTTTAAGCTCGTTCTCAATTTATTCCTATAAGCAAATATATATATATTTATCTCTATATACAAGTTATTAGATATAAACTTTGTTTAAGCAGTTCCTTTATGTAAACGTTTTCGCGTACCCAACATTTATTAGAATGAACACAATGGCCGCCCCTGCAAATATTTGACTAATATCTGTTCCCATCCATCTATACCATCTCCAGATAAGCTGGTGCCAAACTATGACAATGTCGAGCATCAAATGAAATTTTACGACATCAGAACGCCGCTGGTGCTCAGCTGCAACGTGAGAGACGCCGATCCGACGGCCCCACTTATATGGTAAGTCATTTCGAACACCCCGAAACCTTGTACATATCCCAAAAATATCCGGGGGACGTTGTTGCCAGCCCCGAGGGTGGAATTGGAATGGGCTCGGGTTGGGATGGGATGGGATGGGATGTCTGTGTCCCACATAGTTAGTAGTTATAAGAGCAATCATTTTAATACGGCACAGCTAAGCACTTTTGCTTAATTATGTTGGCCTGACCGCCTAACTGACTGCCTAACTGACATAACCTGGGTGCCTAGAACAAGAGTGAAGGACCCTAAGGAAGCACTGAATACACTATACAATGGCAAACCAAAAAGTACATACATATATCATGATACTTAAAAAGAAGGGATCTTTAAGGGAATCTAATTAAAATTAGTTTTGCCCACCTTCCCTAATACCCGTTGGTGCTAGAAACTTGATTTGTAAGAAGTTAAAAAAAAAAGTAATAAATTAATAAAGAACCAAAGAACTATTAGCTTGCATATATTTTATATTTCAATTTATGTCGCAAATCTTGTGCGAATAATTTGCATAGCCCTCTCGTCAAAGGGTACAATACGGTTCCATTCTGTGGGAGACGACGGGTGGGTGTGTTACGCCTGAGTGGGAGTAGTGAGAATGGACGATGGGGGGCACTTCTGCAGAGGTGGTGGTTGCTGGAAAGTGCCTTCCTGTCTGGGACTGGTTAGTAGTAGTAGTTGGTAGTTGGATCGCCCGACTCTGCTCAGGGGTCTGGTAATGGTAATGACACTTTTGTTCATTCCGGGACCTGTCCGAGTCTCGGGTTCTCAGTTTTCCGTTCTCAGTTCTCGGTCCTGAGTTCTTGTTATTGTTCTTGCTCTTGGGGCCAGGGCCAAACTTTGCGTGTGCCAAGCTGAGGAATTAGTCTTTGAATAATTGGCAAAAGGCGAAGAGGGCGAAGAGGACCAAGGAAGACCGCCTAGAGAGAGAGAGAGAGGAGAACGGAAAAAGTTCACTCCTCGTGAAGGTGCAGCCGGCTGACTCGGCGATAACTGTAGAATTCATTTAGATAAATTGTCTTTTTTCTTGTAAATATATACAGAGTGAGAAAAATGGCAATTAGCAAAATACACAACTACTAACTATTAAAATGGACGCTTCATGGTAAAATGTAATAAAAAGACAGAAGGAATTTTGGGATGTTCTAATGAGAAAAACTATAAAGTTTCCTCGGGATTATAGAGGCCAGAGCAGACAGAATAATATTTACCTAACTAATACCCGTTTTACATATCCCTCTTTAGGAAAAAAAACGGAACGGCGGTGACAGAAGTGGCTTCGCTAAGGGGTCGCTTCAAACTAATCGATGCCGAGAGGAAGTTCATCATCGATAGGTCGGAATCTCACGACGATGGACTCTACAGTTGCGAGATCGACGGCGAGTCCAAGAATATCAATGTGATTGGTGAGTGGCCAGACCCATACGCCCATAGCCATAACCAATATTGACCCACAAATCGCAACCCAAACCCATATTGATTGATATCCTTTATCGTCGGCAGCCCGCGTTGTTGTACGAGTGCCTTCAAATACAGCCGTTGTGGAGGGTGAAAAGATGTCGGTGACCTGCACCGTTTTAGGTACCAAGCCGCAGTTGTCGTGGACCTTTGGTGAGTCAGAGTCTGAGCCTAAGTCGGAATCAAAATTGAAACTTTAATCTAACTTGACGCTCTTTCCCTTCCACCGCACTGCAGGCAATATCACGCTGACGAACGCCACAGATCGGTTCGTCCTCAAGGAGGACAATGGAGTCCCGAACTCCATTCTTACACTGGAGAACGTGACATTGGACGACAGAGGCGAGTACAAGTGCTTTGGACGCAATGCGGCCAATGAATACGGTGTGAACAGCACTGTTGTCTACGACACCACAACTGTGCGTGTTAAGGGTAAGTTTGAATAGACCAGGGAGTGCCGCCTCCAGGCCATAAAATCCATCGAAAGACACCCCTTCACTGGGCTTCGTCGTGATCTTTGGGTTTCCGATTATATAAATTTAACCTTGGTTCTGAGGAATCCATTCAAAAATCAATTTATTCGGTGACCTTAGCATCTTTTCTTTCTAATTAACTATATTGAACCCATTGAAGCACTCTTATACCAACAAAATGAGCTACATTTCCACCAATTTTGTGTACTTGCTTCACAAGCACATACAGTTGTGTGGGCTAATTCCTGGCCAGTAAAATTAACTGAAACTAAAAACTATTCAAATATTTTTGGTAAAAATAGATGACGAAGCTAGTGGCACGGGTTATCTTTTGGTTTTAATAAATATATCCTATAAATACATTGTAAATTATTTTAGGCAAATTTGCCGCCTTGTGGCCTTTCCTGGGCATCTGTGCTGAGGTGCTTATTCTCTGCGTCATCATTCTCATCTATGAGAAGCGACGCAACAAGAGTGAACTGGAGGAGAGTGATACTGATCCCCAAGAACAGTAAGTGTGCCTACTCTCCAATCCAACAACAACAACACACCAACCAATCAAATCCACAACCAACAACAACAACAAACAAACAACATCAACAACTGTCAACACCAAATATTATTAAACAAACAATCAACAACAAGAAAGAAGAGAAGAAAAAAAAAACAGCAAAACAGCAGCAGAAGAGGAAAAAAGTTGAAAATTTTAGTTTTATACTGCAAATTAAAGACGTTGAAGCTGCAGGCAAATGCGAATGCAGACCAGACACCAAAATACACACACGGTTACGGACGGATACAATAGATACGGAAAAGCCACGTACTTACACACACTGACCTAGGGACGAAAAATGGACGGAAGAAGGCAGCAGCTACAACAATTAGTGAAATTTTCTTAGTTAACAATTTCTAATAGTGTTACCCAAAAGTCGAAAGGAAAATGAATGAATTTTTGTGTGTTTTTGTCGCAAAAAAAAAAAACCGGAAACGGAAACAGACGGACGATGACGGATACACGCGCGGTGCGATGAAAAGTTAAACGTTTAAGAAACAATCTAGTTTTTTCTAATTTTGTATTATAAACAAAGGATAATAATAATACCCAGAGAAGTGAAAAGCAAGCTTAGACGTGTAGATTTCGAAATTCTAGTTCGACGATGTGTGCTAAAAACGGGATCAAATGTATGTTCCTGATATATCCGTATATTTGCATTGCCCGTTAAAACCTCTGACAAACACAAAACGGAAACGGAAACACAAAACAAAATAAATTATAAAATCTACAGCTAAAACTTGAAACTAAACTAAAAACGAACGCGCACAATAGACACACCACTACTCATGCAAACACACACACACCCTACTACACACACCCCAAGAGTTAAAACAAAATATGTAGTTCTATAGCTATAGAATATTATAACTATAATTCATCGTAAATATGCCTTATAATTTCTTGCTTTATTCGAAACGAAAATTCATTTGTTCTCGCTATTGCTTGTTTCTGTTGCTTGGAAAGAAAAACTTGAAAAAACAAATGAAAACTTTAGAAAAAACGTATACCCAACTTACATATAAACGATAAAAGTTCTTTTATGTCAAAGTCCAGTCCATAATATTATTATTATTATTATTATTATGATTATTATTATTATGATTATGATTATCATGTAAAAGAGAAACGACAAGCAAATGTTATCGACTTTCTTCTTAAGTACTTATTGTTTAATTATGATACATTTCAAACAACACACACAAAAAAGCAAATGTTGTCCAACTGCAACAACAACAAAACAGATTTAATCGTTACTTATGTATATTATAAATCACTATATAAGCTTATTAATTTCTTGGCAGTGAATCAAACGTTTACACACACAGAACACACGAACACACACAGAAATCGTAGCTCAACACTTTTGCATTGATTTTGAAATTATAATTAGCATTATTTGTATATTGTACACAAAAAACAAGAGTATTTAAAACCCCTTACCCCCCTACCCCCCCCCAGAAAACGCCCCAAAGTTTGGCACTTTATGTTTTATTTTTTCCTTTCTATAGTTTGTCGCCTCTGTTGATTTTGCTGTGTATAAAAAACTTTAATGATTTCGATTCTTTGTATCTAGTATCTAAAAAAATCTTGTGCTATTGTTAATACCGATTACAATTATCCATTATGATTTTGTGCGTTTTGAGATTGATTTCTACCGAAATATAAAACAAACTACAAAAATACAATTGTAAATTAAACAAATAAAAAAAAATAATAATAAATAAAAAACAAAAAAAAAGAACAAAACCAAAAACCAATTTGCATTTTTATTTGTTTGTGCTATTCGTTCGCTCTTCTTTTCGATGTTGTGTCTATAATTTCTTAATGTTTTTTTAGATTTTACTATATAAGTTGTTTTTACTTTTTCTTAGATCCTCCTGGTTTTAAAGAACATAGGTTATATGTTGCAACTGCTTGCGTGCCTGCTGCTATCGGAGCTTGTGCTCTGATATGTTTTCTATCCATATAGTACTTATAATTTGCGTTGCCGATTGCCTTTTGATTTGCTGTAATAACCGATTTCTGGTATCTCTGTGAGTGACTCGTCGTCGTTTCGTTGCCAATAACCATGGGAAAGCAAGCTAATCAACTGTCTTTTCCATTCTTTTCTTGTTTTATTCCCATAAATACCCCATAAATATGAGTAGTTGATCAAATTCACTCTCTAGTTAAAGCTAAATTGAATGAAATCGTAAAAACAAAACCAAAAACTAAAAGAAAAGCTAAATATGTGGGAGAACCTGCCGCTTGATTCGATCGATTGATTGGTTGACTGTTTTCTGCAATCATCATCACAGCCACCACCTCCAAAATAGAAAAAAAAAAACAAGCGAAAACTAACCTCGCCTTCGATCAAGTATCTCCATCAAATCAAATCAACCCGCCTTGACTAACAAAAAATCTGATCAAAAAAATAAGTGTGCCCAGCGTCAACAACAACAAGAAATACTCCAACTAATACAACAACTCAACTCCAATTCAAACAACATTAAAAACATCTACAATCACTGCAATGAAAAATAGTATCATAAAAAAGTATATAGTATATATATTAAAAATCTCTGAACGGCAATAGCAACATCAACAGCATCTCTGCAACAGCAGGAATCCAACAATAGTAGTCTAACTTTTTTACTAACAAACATTTTTTTTTTAATAATTTTTAGTTAAAAATTTCCCTTTTTTTATTTGGCATTGAAACATAGTAAAGTTTAATAATTAATTGATTGGTTAATTGTCGCTCGACCCCATTCAATACTCCTGTGTAACTTCAACAGTTTTCTTTCTTTCTTGAATTATTTTTATTGTCAAATCAAGAACCAATCCCCACAACATCCAGCAAGAACAATAATCGAAATAACACTAAAAAACTAATTTCCGTGATATTTGCAATTTATTCTTTATTGCAGGAAAAAGAAAAGGAGAAATTATGATTAAAATTCCTAAGAAAGAAAAAAGAAAAAACACACCATATAAAATATAAACAAATAAAACCAATTAAATATGAGCAAACACACACAGAGAGATACTTGAGAGTAAAAAACGCATTAAAACCATTACATAAACTACAGCATAAAACTAGCGAATACATGAGGATGGTAACGAACGAGAAACCCCATTCGCCCGAGAAAAAGTTGTGTAAACCTCCCCCGCCACGCCACTCTCACCTCTCAGCCCCTAAAAGCCCATCTCCTAACACTGCAAAACTTTGTTTAGCGAAATTGAAATGAGAAACAGACAATTAACATTAAACAACAGAAAAGTAAACACAAAACAAAAGAGAACTAAAATAATATTAAAATGGAAAGTGATAGCAGTTAAACGAACACTAAAACAGAGATTATGGATAAAGGATGGAGGAATATCGGCGGAACTCTAGCAATTAACTTTAAAGTGAAGAAGCGTTAACTCCGAAGCAAAACATAAAATTATTAAATAAAAAAAAAACAACAACAAAAAATTCAAGATTGTCGCACATGCCTACACTCTCGCCCTCGCCTACGCCCACGCCACCCCTCCGCACCAGCCCATCCCCTTGAAGACCTTAGAAATACAAGACAAAACAAAGTAATATTGTATATAACCTGAAAAGTTGAGAAAGCTAAAGAAAGAACAGGCCATTCTTCTGTCTCTGTACTTTTTGCCTGTATTTGTAACGTTATTATTTCCTAGGTAGCGATATTTTGAGGTTAGTTTTTAGTTCGAAGAATGGAGGAGGAGGAGGCAACAGCAGCAACCAAGAGTAGGAGAAAACTGATATGGAGCAGGAGCAACCACAACGCAACTGTTAAGGCGAACCCAGGAGGAGAAGGAGGAAGAGTAAAGGCGAATGCGAACCAGAGGATGTTAAAAGAACTTTGTTTATTTAACTTAGTTAATATGGTAAAAGGCAAAAACTGAAGATGAACTTTTTAAACAATTAAGTAGCGCGTTATGAGTATATTTTTAAAGGATTAATACCACAACTAGTAGCGAAAGGGCGAACGCTACAGCGAAAGCGTGAGCCGGAACCGAGAGCGGAAACGGAAGCGAGAACCTTGTATATTGCATAATTTTAGGAGCAAACGACGGAAGTGTAATCAGATGCGTACTGCCAAAACTTGTAAAGTTCAGTACTATTTGCTTAGCCTCATTTTTGGTAACAACAAAAACTAAAAAACCAAAATCAAAACAAACTGAAACTAAAAAACTAAAAGCTAAAAACAAAAACGAAAAACGAAATGTGTAAGATGAAGATGAAATTCATAAGCTCTGTTAATTCATATAATAGATTTCTGTTGTTGTTTCATTTCGGTTGTTTATGTAAAATGTATGTGTATGTAAAAATGAGGGAACGAAAACAACCAACAAGTAAGAAAAGCGGTCTTCAATTCACAATTCTTAACTCGTAAACTCATAAACAAATCATATTTAAAAACATACTATATAAATATACATATGTATAAATACTTTCTAAACTTTTAGTTCTAGTTGATGTGTTTTCCTTTTATTATTTATCTTTTGTTTTTGAGTTCTTCGCCGCCACCAAAGCTTTAAATATTTACATAGTAAAAACAGTTTTCTCAGCAAAATGATGAATCACTGAAAACAATTATGTTAAAAATGACACACAAAACGACGAGACGATTTGTATAGTAAACTAAAAACAATGGGAATTATAATAAACAAAGAAAAGCCCCTGATAAAAGCCCCACAAAGGTAACGTTCTTGTTATATATAAATAAAGTATATATATTATAATTCACGTGTGTGTGTGTGCATGTTCGATTACATAGTTATATACATATGCGAAGAAATTCAAGAAGACAAGATAATGAAAAGAAAGCGAGGAAGCTAGAGAAAGGAAAAAGAAGTAGGAGGAATGGAAAGAAAATAGGTAAATAATAGCCTAAAGAATAACAAATCGAGTTTTTTTGGAAACCGTCGATAAATTCTCGTGCATAAGTTTTTTATTCATGTACAATTGTTGTACAGTTTTTGTGGCTTATTTGTGTAAAACAACAACAAGAACAACTATTAGTGACAACAACAACTACTACTACTAACTATTACAATCGATCTATTTCGCATAAATGTACATTAAATTCTGAAACATCTATGAATCCCCTGTCTCAGTCTCTGTCCCTCAAGTTTAATATCTCTTCTTCGTTACTTTATGGCCCGTTTCCATTGGGACTGCAGTCCTAGCACCTCTATGTGAATGCACCTTTCGTGATATCGTGCCCGAACTATCACCACAAGCTATTCTAAAAAAAAAAAACAAATATAAAATAATGGCTAAACCTGGTGGCGCTGGTTTGTTAAAAATTTTAAACTAATTGGAGTAACTTTGTAAAATGAAATGCAGGAATGAACGACTTATTTTAAATTACAACCAATGGAAACAGCTAGTTTTAAATCATGGCCAACGGAAAATGACTCTTTTGCGAGTAGTTTTCAAATATCGTTAAGAACTTCAGTATACTTTCGGTTTGGATTCTTTCCCACAACCTCTTTCTCCTTTTCGACCAAGCCCTTCTTGAACCCCCTCTGAACTGAATGACAAACAGCTACGATACCTATTTGCTGCTCTATTTTATGACGTAATGTTACCCACAACAACAACACATAGCATCAACCCCAAGTAACACGTAACCTTAAAGTAAAATCAACAGGTACTTCGAAATAATCGATACGATCCGATATGGGATGCAAGAACTATACCTACTTCTATAATATACACCTACTATATACAAACAACCACATACGCAGTATTGTATGTCTTTTTGTACAGAAAACAAACGACAGCAGACCAGAACAAAGACTCCTCCAAACTCCTAACTAGACTCCAGAGAAACACTCCTCAGACATTTGAATATAGTATAATGAATAACCCTCGATATTCATGATTTAAACCCTCTATCACCACCATCACTACCAGTTGCTAACTATCAAATATTAAATAATGGGCAGAAGAGCATCGTAACTACTCGTAATTCTCGGCACACACACTTTTGACTCTCACGCGTTAGCTAAAGATCGGGCGCAGCTCTGGCTGAGCTACAGGAAGAGTGTAACCTTATATATATTAT